GGAAAAATACAGGAACAGAGATCCAGGCAGTGAGGAGGTCTGTAAATTGCAGGATAACATAGACTGTTTTAAATGGAGGAAGAAGTTATTAGAATATAGAGTAAACTCAAAATGTAATAATTTACAACATCATGAAAATGAAAATCCAAAAATATGGAAACATTAAAACCATAAAATTAGCACAAGGTTGCAAAAATGTCTTTAGATACAACATGAAAAAAATTATTTTCTTGATTTTTAGTTTTATTTTTCATGGTAAAACTTTACTAGCAATTTCCTCATACATATACCCTGAACCAGGGGTGGGGTACCTTTTTCTACCAAATTTTGTAACATCATTCGCAGACCATACAAAATTATCAGCTTAAAAATTAGCCTGCTCTATTTTGTCATCCATTTCATAAAGTCACCCCTAAAGTGATGGCTGGAGTCGCAGTGGTTGGTTATTCATGGGCAGCTCTTTTGTTTAAAGAATTACATGACACTTTCGGAAAATTAGTGGTGATGTGTAAGATCTGCTAGTGGTGATATAGAAAACACATTAGAGAGGGAGAGAGTGGCCACATTAGACCTGTTTGAATGATTATAATTCAGGTGTCAGGTGCTAAGGGCCCGAAGTAATGTCCGGGTGAGGGGGATGGAGATGAGGGCATTCACAGGACATTTCTATTGAAATGGGAAGCCCCTGGGTGGTACAGATGGTTAACTTATTGACTGTTGCCTAAAAGGTTGACGTCTCAAGTCCATGTAAATGCATCTAGGAACATAGGCCAGGGTACCTGCTTCTAAAAGGTCTTGTTACGTTTTGTCAAGTTGGTTCTGACTCATAGTGAAACTACATAGAGGGTTTCCAAGAAGCAGCTGGTGGGTTTGAACTGCCGACCTTGTGGTTCGAAGTCCAAAGCTGATCCTACAGCACCACACCTGGAGCGTAAAAGATTGTTGATGTTGTTGTGGTTGTTAAGTGCCATCGAGTCGGTTCTGACTCATAGTGATCACCCTGTATAGAGTTTCTTAGGAGTGTCTGGTGGACTTGAACAGCTGAACTTGCAGTTCAGACCAACCTTATGGTCCAGTGCATTATCCCTGAGTACCACACCAGGACTCAGCCCTAAAGTTGCTATGGATCACAGTTCTACCTTGACATGCCTGTGGTCACCTTGAGTCAGCATTAAATGTTTCATTTGCTTGGTTTTTCCATTTAAATAGAGTAATGGAGCTGGAAGTTGGGTCGCTATGGGTCGGAATTGACTCCACAGCACTTAACAACAACAACAAAGGAACTCCTGGTATAATGCTGTAGGATAAGCACTGGACTGCTAACCATAAGATCGGTGGTTCAAACCCACCAGCTGCTCCTCGGAAGCCCTATACAGGATCTTTATGAGTTGGAAGTGATTCAACAGCACTTAACAACAAAGCAATTTTATCTCATAAGTTATGTTCATGTAGTGTAATTTCTATAAGCGTTTTCAAAATTGAATTTAATATCATTCCCTTTTTTAAAAAAACTATAATTCTTGATAACAATGAATCATAGTAGGTGTGGTGCAGTATTCTAAAGCACTGGACCGCAAGGTCAGTTTGAACCACAAGGTCAGCAGTTCAAACTCATCGGCCATTCCTTGGAAATCCTATATAGGGTCACCGTGAGTTGGAACTGATTTAACAACAACGAGATGGAGCTGTAGTAGCATAATGGTTGCGAATCGGGCTGCTAACCTCAAGGTTAGCAGTTCGAAACTACCAGCAGTTACGTGGGAGAAAGATGAGGCTTTTTACTCCCTTAAAGATTTACAGCCTCAGAAATCCTATGCAGTGTCACTATGAGTCAGAACCAACTCCACAGCACATCACCGCTATCACCAATAACAACAACAAATAGTAGAAAGGTCTCTACACTTGGAATGAATTTCTTGTAAGAAAACAATATGTTTTTGTCAGATCAGGTAAACCTTCACAGACTTCTGAGATAACCTGTGGTAAAGAGACTAACTCCTGTGGTAACCTGAATTGTGTCTGTGGGCTTGTTTAAACCAAACCAAACACCAGCTTGTGACTTCAGGCACAAATGACCCACTAGCATGAGGAAATTAAAGGTCATCATAAACGCTTACGAAGTAAGATAAGGTAGTGAAATGCAAGTACAGTCTCATTTACTCTACTGACTTACATGAACACTCTACTTACTGACTTGAACAGTTGTGTTTTGAATGAAAAAAAAAACAAACAAAGAATAGGGATTGAAAGATTTTTGAAAGGCTGTTAAACTAATCCTACCTTGGATTCTTCTGTAGTTTTGCTGCTTGAGAAGATTGAGCATGATGACGACGTCTGCAATAAAACATTGAAGATTACGGATTTTGGGCTGGCAAGGGAGTGGCACCGGACAACCAAAATGAGTGCTGCTGGCACATATGCGTGGATGGCGCCGGAAGTCATCAAGTCCTCCATGTTTTCTAAGGGAAGTGATATCTGGAGGTGAGCATCATAGGCTTTAGCAAATTTCTGCACAGATAGGTTGCTATGTTTCACGTGAATGAATCCCAGAGTACTCAGTAGTTTTGAGCAGAGCCCTTTTGGAAGAAGTTCCCACAGCACCACATCAGCACTAGTAACAGGTAACTTGAAGTCTTTCTTGTCATATGATTTCCATTTGATAGAAGAACCTTCCTGGTCAGTCTAAGGTTTGAGAAAAGTGCTCTTAATTTGAGTTAATGGCAGTGCCAAGGTATTTTTCAGTCCTGCTTAGTAAATAAGTTTTGGGAGTTCTGGTGTGGTGCTGCAGGTTAATGTGCTGGATCACATGATCGGTGGTTCAAGCTCACCAGCTGCTCCTCGGAAACCCTATATAGGGTCGCTGTGTGTCAGAACTGACTCGACAGCACTTAACAACAATAACAGTAAATAACTTTTGATCATATAAAAATACCAAAATAGTTAAGTGAAATAGGCTCTCATTTAAGAATTAGATTTTGAAACTGAAAACTATGAAAATGCATTATAAATCAATTTTATATTTAAAATAATTTATAAGGTTACTTATAATTTTGCACAATTACACCCTGTAGGAATGCTGTACAACCTGTATAAATGCTTTATAGTAACCTGGTCTACTATAAACATAGAAAAGAACCATATCATATGTAAGCAAAAAAACAAAACCAAAAAAGCTTCTAAAATCAGCTGGACTATGCGTCTTCAAACGTTTTCCCACTTAGTGGAGAGGCCGTCTTTCGACCTCTATCTGATTGTAGTTTATTCTAGTGTTACAAAGCTTGATTATCTGACTTTCATTAACATCAACTAATTAGAAAACTCGGAAGGGATACTAAACTATTAATAGCAAAAAATGGTAGCTAAAGCAAAGTAGGCAATAACGAAAGGAAAGAAAACACAAAATACTATGAAAAGGATTAAAAAGGCTGACCTCTAGGGTCACCTAATTTGGAGGCAAATATTCTTACACATCTCTAGAGTGTATTATTCTGGGACAGCATTATCGAGTCAGGATGGGCATCACTTGGAACTGCTCATTACCACTGTTTTAGAATAATCCCATAAAAATAGCTTCACTCAACTATGATTGCTTGTTCTATATCCTCCTTTGGTGAGTAGTGATTGGGGTCTTCAAAGCTCATGAGCGACCATGTAAGCAGCAACTATTGGTGTCTCCCTACCTGGAGCACAGAAGCGTGATGAAAATCAAAGGCTGATGGATACACTTGGTGCAGCAGACTCAGTCTCCATGGCCCTGAGATCTGAAGAAGTGGGTGGTGCCCAGCTACTACTGCTGACTGCTTTGTAAGGGATCACAATAAAGATCTTGTGTAGAGTGGGGGGAAAATGTGCAGGAAAACTCAAAATTATCAAAGAGAACAGGCTCACCAGTAGACAGAAGCTGGTGGAAGCCTGAGATTCTGGCCCTTTGTAACCCTTCAGGTCAGTAACTGAGTTTAGTTTTCATCCAAACAATAGGCAGGTCTGTCAGAGGAACAATAGCATTAGGGAGGAATGTACTACCTAAAATAATGACCATTTGACATTGAAAGGGCAGCATTTGTCCAAATTCAAGGTTCAGAAGTGTTAGAAAAGGAGAAGGAATGGAAACAGGAAGTGTAGAGAGGAATGCAGGGTAAGTGACATTACACTGTGGGGGTTGGAATCGATGACGTGAAACAAAACACGTAGGGATTGTTGAGTGGAAAATTGATCTACTCGGTAAAACTCCACCCAGTTCATAGTAAAATGTTAAAAAAAGGAAAAAAAGAAAAAACCCTACCCCAAACATCACTGTTTACTTTATGCAGTGCTAGGCATTAGTGATTGTGTATTTCTTGATCATCTTTTCTTTCCCCTCTCCTTCCTTACAGAAAAACAAAACAAAACAAAACAAAAAAACCCCATAAAATAGTAATAAAAGATCCTATATACTTTTATATTATCATTTTAATTCGAATACAGTGAAACCTGTGGAATTCAATGGAGGTGCCTTGTTTTTCGGGGTCTCACACATTTTCCACTCTTGGTAGGGTACAACTTACCACTTTTCTATTATTCTCTATGAGGGAGCTCCAAAAAAGTTCATGGAAAAACTCCATTAGCTTTTCATTTCATCTTTTTCTTTTCCATGCACTTTTTGAAGTCCCTTCATATTAGTGGAGAGTATTTGAATGTACCTTTTCTGGCAGACTCCTGCCCTGCACAGGTTCTGGCTTTCTGTAATTACTCAGGGTTGAGGATTAGGAAACGAAGACCTTAGAAAGTCAAGAAATTTGCTGAAAGTCACAAAGCTACCAAGTACCAGACTCAGGTACCAGAACTGAGATCCATCACTCTTGGTACCATTATGCTACTTGAGTTATCTCTAGAGGGTTTGCTTACGCTATGATCTACCCAGCTTGATGGAGACCTGGTGTGGCACTGTCGGGTAAAGCACTGGACTGCAAGATGCAATGTCGGTGGTTCAAATTTACCAGCCGCTATACAGAGTCACTGTGAGTCAGAAGTGACTCAACAGCACTTAACAAGAACAACCCAGTTTGATAAAACAGAAAAATATGTATTGTATGTTACAAGCAGTTCTGTCAAAGTAGTTACGCTTTGTTTCACGTTGGTTTTTAATGTTTTCAAAAGTAGCCTATCCTTGGTGACTCTTTTTTGAGACTTTGAACTACAAGGCTTTCTTGTTTGTTTTGACTTTATCTGCTACAGAGAATAGCAAGAAAGTCTATTTGAATTTAGACAATATACAGATACACTTTCTAAGAACTGTTTGGTCCCGTACTCTGATCTTGTTTTATGGACCTGTGGGTTAAGTTTACTTTTGAAATTAAGAAACTGTCTCTACTAATGAACCAAAACATAGACCTTTGCAACAATGGACTCAAACATCACAACAGTTGTGAGGATGGTACAGGACCAGGCATTGTTTTGTTGTGTTGTGCATAGTGTTGCTATGAGTCAGAATTGACTCAATAGCACCTGACAACAAAAAGAAGCAGATAATCTTTGAAAAATACTCTTTTCAACTTAATAACTAACAGTTAAAGCATTATACAGTTTACAAGGACTGAGTCCTGTTGTAGGATAAGCACTGGACTGCGAACCACAAGGTTGGTACTTCAAACCCCCCAGCTGTTCCTCAGAAACCCCGTACAGCGTCTCTATAAGACGGAATCAACTTGACGGCACTTAACAACAACAACATTGTAGACGAGGGGGCTTCAAAAAGATTTGTGGAAAATGGAATGAACAGAGAATGGAATTTTTTCATGAATTTTTGGAAACTTTCTTGTGTTTCCTTGATCACGTAATATTTTATGAAACAGTGCTTTGAGAAGGTAGAGCAGATGTAATAGTATTGTCTTACAGATGAGTTCATTGAAGATCAGCTTTAAGTTGAGTAGAGACAGAACAGGCAGGTAATGATTTTCCCAAACCTCAAATTCAAATTGTCTGCCTCCAAGCACATTTCCTCAGCCCATAGTGCTGTTGTCTCTTCTGTTCAGAGCATGTGCCCTGGACTCGGTGCCCTGGGACTCAGATGCCTCGGTGGAGAGCTAGTAGAAAGTCAGCTGGAGGACCTCTAAGGCTCGCTGTGCTACCAGGAATACTGCCTGCCTGCCCTGCTGTGGCACTGTAGGGTCAGAACTTGTACTGTGAACCACAAGGTCAGCAGTTCAAACCCACCACCTGCTCCTTAGAAACCTATAGGGGTCGCTATAAATTGGAACTGACTCCACGGTACTTAACAACAACAAAAATACTGACTGTTGATGTGATTTTCATGTGTTTAGTTGCTGACTGAAGGAACATACCTGCCACATTGGGGTAACAGCCATTTGTGGGCTTCATTGAAAGAGAACGATCCGTATCAGGAGTTAGATTTAGCTAATCAATGAACGTTTAAGGAAAAGACACCATTTAATTGATTTTAACTTTATGAACCATTTGCCTTATAGTTATGGAGTGCTGCTGTGGGAACTGCTCACGGGAGAAGCTCCCTATCGTGGCATTGATGGGCTTGCTGTGGCTTATGGAGTAGCAGTTAATAAGCTCACTCTACCCATCCCATCTACCTGTCCTGAGCCATTTGCTAAGCTAATGAAAGGTATCTGTAGCTTCTGTGTGTGTGTGTGTTAGTTGGGGGAAGGGAAGTCACTCTACTCACAAGTGCCAAGAAATGAACCAGATTAACCAAAAAAGTAATTTCTGTGATTCTAATTTTCAAATACTTTTGGTAATTATACTCCTTTAAGAATCAGAAACCTTGCCTTTGATCTAAGATAAGAGAGAAGTTTTGATGAACTAAGTAAGTTAAAAATAATCGCCTTTTTCCAGTGACTCATTTATATGTAAACACTCAACTGAATGTTAATTTTCACCAAGTACATTAGTAGAGTTCAAAAAAAAAGCTATTGAATTAGCCCCATATCTGTTTCTTTAAATTTGACCTCATAAGCATACATGTTGTACAGTTTCAGCTACCATGTTTTACCATGACCTTGTCTGTATGATCCTTCTCTTTTTAAAACTCAGCTAACTTTTTGTAAGCACGTTACTGTACTGCATCATTAAACTCTTTCCTAGCACTTCTCTTTTGCCTGTGACATTTCAGAGCATTTGATTGACTTAGGTTGAGTTCTAGAACCCTATGTCAGTAAACCATTTGCTCAGGCAGGTTTAGAACCCTCAAACTCAGAGTTGGTGGTAAGCCATGGAATGAATCCCCATGGCCGTATTTTAAGTGCGACACAACTTTGACAACAGTGGTCTCATCTAGTAGTAATCACCACGCATGCTTTGACATGGATACTGTATCAAATACATTACTGAAAATTGTCGATAGTTTCTTCAAATCTTCAGCAGGCACGTGCAGCATTTAATTGAAAAGTATTTCTGTGGAAAACGTTTCTTACAAATTGATGTGTCTTGGAGATCTTTTTAATTATCATGAGGTGGAATTGATGTGACTCTGGCTTATTTTAGAATGCTGGGAACAAGACCCACATATTCGCCCGTCGTTTGCCTTAATTCTTGAACAGTTGTCTGCTATTGAAGAGGCTGTTATGACTGACGTGCTCCAAGAATCTTTTCATTCCATGCAAGATGATTGGAAACTGGAAATTCAACAAATGTTTGATGAGTTGAGAACAAAGGAAAAGGTAAGGGTTATATGTATATATATACACACACACACACATAGTGTTTTTTTCTTTCAACATTTTGTATTCTCGGTAAGTGCCGTGTAAGTTTCCATGCAGTTTCTACACAATGTTCAGTGACATTGGTTACATTCTTCACAAAGTGTTAACAAGTCTCATTATTTTCTTCTGGTGGTTACATTTCCATTCATCGTATTTCCCCACCCCCTTTCACGCTCATCTTTATTTTAAGTCATTATTAACTATTTGGTCTTATAGAGGTGACCTTTTCAAGAAGCATGGTACTTTCAGATGATGTTGTTGTTGTTATGTGCTGTCGAGTCGATTCTGATCCGTAGCGACCCTGTACAGGGTTTCCGAGGCTGTAAATCTTTATGGGAGCAGAAAGCCTCATCTTTCTCCCGCGGAACCACTGGTAGTTTCGAACTCCCGACCTTGAGGTTCGCAGCCTGTTTCAGAACCACTATGCTACCAGAGCTCAGCCAGTTTGTTTTTTAGCTGCAAGGTAACCTCAGGGCTTGATTGTACTTCAAGGTTTGAAGACTATCTCTGGGTAGTAGTCTTAGGAAGCCTTCTAATCTCAACAGTCCCCAGTAAGTCTGGTTAGACCGATCTGCGGGTAGCTAAGCAGCATCTACTTTTTGTGATCTCAGGATGTTCGAGACCTTGATTATGTGGACTATTTGTCCTCTAGACTAGCTTCTTCTTGGGGTTTCTTTCTCCTTTGCTCCAGGTGAGTAGAAACAGATAGAGATCAAAGTTGTGTTGTACTGGCTGTTCACAAGCTTTGAAGTCCCCAGACACTGCTCACCAAACTCAGATGTAGAACAAAACTTGATGACCTACGTTTCCCCAGTTGACCGAAATGCCCCATAAGACTATGATCTTAATTCTTTAAGCTCAAAAATCTAATCCTATGAGGTAATTGGTGTGTCGAAGAAGTAGCCATAGCTGTGCCTCCTGTGGATTCTGTTACTTATATGAATACATGTGTGTACAGTCACATACATGTACATACATATGTACACACCTATGCTGTTGTTAAAAGTTCCTTCTGGGTGGTTCTGACTCATAGCGACCCTGTGTAGGGTTTTCAAGGAGTGGCTGGTGGTTTGAACCACTGACCTTGTAGTTAGCAGTTCAGTGCTTCTATAGCACCAAACCAGTAGCCCTATAGGGGTAATTGTATAATTACTAATACTTATAAAGATTATGAAAAATATGAGCCAAAAGACCACTATTGACATCATTCTAAAATCTTTTAGACATCAATACTTATTGATCCTTGTATTCAGGTTGAAGAAACAAGTAAAACAACTGAACTCAGAATATATAATTGGAAAACAAAACACAATTTTTTTTTTAGTGAAATTGTCAAATGTCAAAAAAAAAAAGGAGAAAGAATTGTAAAAATAAACCCATTATATGTATTAACAGACTTAAATAAGCATCAATATTATGTCAGTTTTGTTCATGTCTCCGTCCCATCATAATATTTTCTTCTTTAATCGGATTATTTTTAATCAGATCTAAATTCAAGTCCTTTTACCTCTAATTAATATGCATCTTGAATTGTTGAAGGCTTTAAAAATTTAACAAAAATTCCGTATCATATAATCCTATCATAATTATAATGCATTCTGTTCATTCGGATCTTTGAGCATGCATATTCAAATATCACAATTTATCTCAGAGGTTCCTTTTCATATTTTGTTTGTACAAATCAGGATTTAAACAAGGAAGCCCTGTTGTGGCTCTGTGGGATAAAGCACTGGACTCAAGGTTGGTTTGAATCCCAAGGTCATTAGTTCAAATTCACCAACTGCTCCTTGGAAACCCTATACAAAGTTGCTATGAGTCAGAACCAACTCGACATCACTTAACAGGCGTCCTGGTGTAGTGCTGTGGGATAAGGCACTGGACTTCAAGGTCGGTTTGAATTGTAGGGTTGCTGGTTCAAATTTACCAGTTGCTCCTCAGAAACTCATAGTGACTATACAAGGTCACTATGAGTCAGAACCAACGCAACTGCACTTAACAACAGCTACATATTCACTGTTGTTGTTATGTGACGTGGAGTTGGTTCTGACTCATTGCGACCCTGTACAGGGTTTCTGAGGCTGTAAATCTTTACGGGAGCAGAAAACCTCAACCTTCTCCTGCAGAACAGCTGGTAGTTTCGAACTGCTGACCCTGAGGTTAGCCCGATTCATAACCACTATGCTACCAGAGATGTTATGTCTTTTAAAGCTTCTTTTATGCTAGGTCTCTCCTCTCCCCAATATACATCTTTTATTTCCAAGGCCACTTCTTGATAGGATGTGTGTAAATGTTGAACTTTTTAATATGATGAGTTCAGTGGTGGGGGAAGGGACCTGTATGCTTAGTGGAGGCCCTCTGTGGTACAAATGGTAAACACACTCAGAGGTTAACAAAAAGAGTGAAGGGTTAAGCCCACCCAGAGATGCCTCATAGAAAGGCCTGGCTGGTAACCTACTTCTGAGCCATCACCATGGAAACCACGAGGAGGGAGGAGGGAGGACAGTTTGACTCTGATGTATATGGGATTGCCATGAGTGGGAATTGACTCACCACAGTTAATTTTGGTTTATATGTTAAATATACTGAGGCTGCAGTTTTGTTACCACATAGGAGGTGAAATAATGAGAACTAAAAAACACATGCAATTTTGAAAGCAAGTTAATTGAAAATGAGTAGTTAGCAGTCTCTTTTTGAATGGTGATCGATGACTCTTAGTGGGTATTGAAGAACTCTATATCCCAGATTCTTGTCATGGTTCTGTGGTATGGCTGTAGGCCTAAGTTTTTTAGAGATACTTTTGTAGTCCTTGAACATTTTGATGAACCAAGGTTTATTCTTGTCTCAAATGTGTAATGGTTCAATGGATTACATTCTTCTGCTGAAAGTGCAATGAATGTCTGTGCTGAAGTACAACTTTACAAGTAATTGGTGACCTTTCTGAAGCCATGTCATCTTCCAGGGAGGACTTTTTATATTTCATATGCAAGGGTAAGTAAAAAAAGTATTGCTACAAAATCAGAGAACTCTATTAATTGAAAAGAGCAAAATGTGGAGCCAGTGTTTCTCAGCATAGCCCCCATCTAGGCCTACACACTTCCAAAGACAACATTTCCATGTCTCTAACCCTTCCATAAAGAATTCTTTGATGTTTAATTTATACTGCATCAAAAGAGCAGTTTGGGCATCTTTGAGGGGCTCTTAACTGTAAGGTGGAGGGTCAGAGATAAAGAGAAAGATCGCCAGCGAGATGGATTGGCAAAATGGCAGCATCAGTGGGCTCAAGTGTGGCAACAATTGGCCCAGGATCGGGCAGTGTTTCATTCTGTTGTGCATAGGGTCACTATGAGTTTGTACCGACTCGATGGCACCTAACAACAACAACAAGAACAACTGTCCTCTTTATATATTCTTGGAGTTTAGGAAAGCAAAAGAAATCTGAAAGGGCAAGATTGGGGATGTTGGGTGGGTGAGGTAAGGTTTCACAGTGAACTTCTCAGAAGACAACACTTTCTACCCCAGAAAAATAAGCAGGTACATTGTTGAGTTGGAAAAAAATTCCTTGGCACAACTTTCCTGGCCTTTTTCTTGCCAACACAGTTTTCAATTTTCTTAAAATTTCTTTATAATATATCTCATGATTGTCCTGTGTCCTTTGAGTAAATCAATCAAGATTACCCTTCGGAATCCCCAAAACAGTCACTGTAACCTTCTGAGTTGACTTATTTTTGCTTTGAATTTAACTGGTCCAGCAGGTCCCCTTGGAAGCCAGTGGGTTTTGTTTTGTTTTGTTTTCTACGTTTGTATTGTGAATTGGGTAATACTTTACA